CCCTGGCTGCGCTTCCGACCCTGAAGCCGCTCGGTTCGTCTCCGAAAAAACTTTTCCGCAGCGGCCGAAGATGGAGCCTGCCGGGATGGATTATTTCTGCGACCAGGTGCAGCAGAAGGACGTGGGCCGCAGGATGCAGGTCGGCCAGGAGCTGCTGGAATACCTGAGCGACCCGGCGAGGTCCTCCGACCTGGAGCAGGACCAGCAGCGCCTTGACAAAGTGATCGACGAATTAACAGGATGGGTCAACTCTAGTAATTTCAAGGTAAGGCTGGTCGGTGAGGCTTGGCGCAGAAAGACCATGATTCATCATGGTAGGGAGGTACAGAGCTCCGGATTACTTTTTAATCGAATATGAGCAGAAATGAAACTACCTTTACAGCAGTTTTTATCCCTCTCCCCACAAAGGGAAATTCAGAAACTTTGGGAGGGGTTGGTTAACATTTGCTGTTTCTATTTCTCTGTCCGAAAAGAGGTACTAATGGGTGTTTTGGTTTTGCTTTTATCGTTGGCTCAACGTTTTTGTACACAATATTAAAGAGAAAAATCAAACCCATGCAACTATTTTACGTACCCGGGTTGTGTTTCTTACTATGACACAACATAAGTGGTGAATTTTTTTTTACTACCACTCCCGCTCCATGGTCTCTGTAGTTGGGTGTAACGTTTCATGGGATTGCCATTATTTTCTGTAGGCCGTAGAGTGCTGTTTCACCGGGTTTGTGTTACACCGTGTGTGTTTTATGCAATTTAATGAATAATTTGCTTCTTGTGGTTCCCATTGTAAGTTTAAAGTTGTTTATACCGTCTTTAGGTGACTTTCGTGTACGTGGGAAGTTATATAGTATCTTTATAGCAACCCAATGATGACTCACGTTTCGCTTTTTTTTATGCGTATTAGGCTGAGCTGCAGGAAAACAGTGATTGCTCCTACACACGTCTCTTGTCATATTTATACACTCCTCTGGCGTGGGCCAGCCGATAACACGATTGACAACGTAGTTTTAGTAGCAAGGACAGCCATATTCGCGTTAGCGATTTTTTTTTTTTTTTTTTTTTTTTTTCCGTGGCGTGCGGCGTGTGGCCGGGTGGGCGCTGCGGCCGTGGGGCGGCGGTGTCGGAGCGCGGTGCTGAGCTCGGCTCCGCCAGCCGGGCGAGGGCCGCCTTCCCTTCCCTCGCTCCCTGGCCTTGCGAGGTGATGGACTTGCGCCGTGGGCCTTTGAACTTAGTGCGGTGAGGTGGCTGTGGTGGGGTTTTTTTCGGTTTGCTCAGACTCGGGAGGCAGGCGTAGAAGTAACTTGTGAGGGCAGATTCATGAAATGGGTATTTATTTTCTCTGTTGCGTTTACAGTGCTGTGTACTTGCCAGTGTTTGCACATAGCATTTCTGAGTTTGAGGTCTGAAAATAATAAGGCTTAACTCTGTGCGAATGATTCTTTATTTTTCAGAAACATATTTGTCATTAAAAGTCAGATTAGCTTGAGGAAATAATCGGTGTTGGACAAGTATAATCTATTTGCCTTGGTACTCCTTATCTGAGGGCAGTTGGTGATAATTGATGACTATGAAACCTAAACAGGTCTTTAAAAATTACCCGTCTGTGTAAAGAGAACTAGATAGATACTTAACACGGTAATGGAAAAGTTTCTTTCTGCACTTTTAAATTGAAAAAATTCGGCATTAATTCTTGAAATTTGCTTTTCAAGATGATTTTCATAACACAAGACATTCTGCTTGCTGTTGATGTGAGGTGACAGAACTCCTTGGCTGTTAGGACTGTAGGATGAATGAAGAGTATGCAGTACTCCAGATCACAAGCCTCTGTCATGTAAGATAAGGTTGAGAATGTTACAAATTCTGAGAGTTTTAAAAATAGCTTGCATAATTATTAAAATCTTTTTGTTACCTCTTCTCTGTGTTCACTTACTGGTGGCTCTTTATACATACAACATTCTGTTTCAATGTTGTATATATTAACTGCAACAGCACAAGACCTTTGCTCATGATCAGTTCCAGTGTTCCTGGCTGTGGTGGTGACTGCCAGTGTCTGCTGTTTCAAAACAAACATTAAAAATATTCTGAAAACCTGTGTTTTGCATCTTGCCTATTTTATCTCATGGAAGCATAGGTGTTGCATAGGTGTCGCATAAGTGTTGCACATTTAAATGTTAGATCTGACTTTGTTACTGAATTCAGGGCCTGAATGATATCATAAAGTGATGAGTATCACAGGCTTACATGTATCTCAAGACAAATATCAAAGTAATCTTTATTTCTGATTTCTGTATTTTTAATAATTTGTTGGTTACCCTTTCCTCTGCTGAGGAATGGATATTGTAGAGCACTTAGACAGTTCTGCTTATGTCTTTCTTCTTGTATTTTGCTAAAGGTCTTGCAGATCTTCAAAGTCTCAAAGTAATTAATCCCTCCCTGTTGACATGGCTGTTTAATTGAGCAGTGATAATGGCTGGTGACTGGCTTATTTATCAGAACTGCTGAGCTAGATGAATTGGAGTGACAAGTGGGGAATACCGGAGAAAGTTTTAAGGGGGAACATAGTTTTCACTGTAGGTGACCGATGTGGATAATGAGGGAGTAGCTGATGTGACTTGCCCTGCATGTGCTGTATCTTTCCTTTTGTGTGAAAACTCGGTCCTTGCATACAGTGCACTCTTGACCATTCTGAGAGAGGCGTAATCTGTGAGCTCTAGGCTCAACTCTCTGCTGTGCCCGAGAACTTTCTATGAAATGCCACCCTAGAAAGTTTCTGCCTCGCGTAACCACAAGGGAAAAGATTGTGAGGGAATAGAAATGGGAGGGTTGATATGGCAGACTTGATAGTGAGCGAGGAAAAGGAGAATAACGTTCAGTAAACAAGTACGGATTTACTATCAGGAAGGTTGAATTAACTTGTCTCAAAAGGTTTGGGCCATCTAAACAGTGCTTTTGTTTTTCTAAAGTTTGCAACTATTTATAGTGGTTTAATAAACAATCTGGCAGTTCCAAACTAAGAAAGCAGATAAGAAAATTTCTGAGTTCATCTAGCTCATTGAAGTGGCAAATACAATTACCTATTTGAGCTACTGATAAATCAAAAACGTGGGATTAAGAATGCGTTGGCTCATCTGCAAATGGCACTAGTGGGTTCTAGTGAAAGTGGGTTGTAGAACACGGAATGTGACCTAGAGAGAGAGATGAGTCATCTTTAAAGGCTGACCTTAATGGGGACTTGAGTTATCATGTCTATGCAGTCAGTGATGGATTAGCTTCCAAAGACTCTTGAAAACTTTGCAACACCGGGAAGTACCTGGAAGATGTGCATAATTTCAGTTTTTATTTTGGTTCTCGTTGGAGCGAGTTGCTCATTGAATGGAAAATTATTTTCTTGGTGTTCTGGTACCATGATTTCGTTTGTTTTATACTGGTTGGGACTGACCTCGCTCCTCCTACAATACACAGCTTTGGTTTGGGGCTTTTTTTGCTTTGGTTTTGGTGTAGTCCCCCCTTCCCCCAATGACTTTCCCAAGGCTGCAAGGAATGGGGGGAGAAATGGTAGTGAGTTCTGAAATCTTTTTAAGGAGCAGGTAAGTTGGATGCAAAGTATGAAGAGTTGGGTGATGGTATGGTCTGCTGGTATTTGTTGTGCTCAAACTCTGAAATATTTGGTGATCTCAGAAAATCGGAACGGTGCTAATGTTTGTGTTCAGACTTTTTCAGGTGAGCTAAAAGCAGTAAATTAATTCCTCATTCTGAGGGTATCACTATGACAGATATTTGCTGACTTCACTGGGTTTAACTGGATCTTTGTCTCTTTATGCCTGAGTTTTAATTAACACATCTCAAGTCTCATAATCAATAGTCACTTGAAATAATTACAAGATTATCTAACTTTACAGTCTGGTGGCTCAAACTGTTCTGTGTCTGACTCAAGTAATCTGGAAATCCGCTTTGAATTTCTGCTAGAGAGATGTGGGTTGCAGAAATACTGCTTTCCAAGTAAAGCTTTGCAAGTGTACTCTTGGCTGTTGTGTTTTGGTTTTTTTTTTAAGCCTACAAGAATTGAATAGTTACCCTCATAAAATTTCTTTTTTAAGCAATAAAGCCACCTTTTGGTTCTTTACGCAAATCACACCTGATCAGAAGTAATAAAACCCTGTAACTAAAATTCTGGTAGTTTCTCAAGATAAATTAATGTGAAAAGAGAAATCGATAATGTTTGTAACTGTGAGTTATCTTTTGGTTTCTTACCTTTGCAGTTGGTATTTTAGCTTGTTTTAGTCCTCAGCTGCGATAGGAAAATAGATTAATAGTCGTTTTTATATCAGAGCAGCAGATTGCCATGCAAAGAAAAAAAATTGTATTTCACACTATTTTTGATAGTGCAGATAATCTGTTTCTTTTGGGCAAATCCTTGGAGTTAACTTTTATTCTATGCTTCCTATAGGATGATGTTTTCCTTAGCTTTGTTTTTTCTCAGTACCAAATACTGAAAGATATTAAAATACCATTGTTGTTGCATTTTCGTATTTCCTCTGTTTGGCATGTATTTATTTTGGTTTGTCTTTAGTTCAACAAAAGGCCAGCAGGAGGAGCTTTCAGTTTCCAGAAACAAAGGGAAGATTTGGACCGTAATTTTGCAAATAGTTAAGACAAGTGGTCAGGATGTTTGTCTGAAGTCCCTGCAAAGAGATACAACTCTGTTGACGGCATGTAAGTGTGTGAGGTGGAAGCTAGAATTTAAAATTATTTGAACAAGGTGGAAATAGAGATCTGAAAAAAAAAGAGTTCAGAAAAAAATGCGGAGTCCTGCATTTCAGTAAGAATAATTGAATGCACAAATACAGGATGTGGGGTGTGTGATTAAGTAGCAGTCCTTAGGAAGAAAACGTGTGGGTTATTTTGGGTCTGAAGTTGAATACAAGCCAACATATGCTACACAAAAGGCAAATGCTGTAGTGAGTTGTAGGACTGTAACTTGCAGGACAGAAAAATGGAGTAAAAAAGGACCCAAATCAACCTTGATTTTTCAGTTACTGTATAGATCCTGGTATTTCCTTAGTCTTTGTTAGCCAGTAGTGGTAACTTAAATGTCTTCGTTGAAGGAGAAATGTTTAACTTTGAGCTCTTTGTTCACTGAATTTCATTATTCCTTTCTTCAAGTCGTTTGTTTCATCTGGGCTATGTGGGAGCTGCTTCCCTTATTTCTATGGAATGAGAATAGGGTTCGACCTGTCCATGCATGAATCCAGTTGGAGTTTTCAAGCT